CAGCACCACCACCCGTGTGGTGCCTGCGGAAGTCCTCCTGCAGAATCTGCTGCCGTAGCCACTCTGGTGTCCACTGGTCCTGCTGAGAGTTGAGGGTGGGGATCAGGTTGTCCCATGAGTTGTCGAGCACCGAAATGATCTTAGTGCACTGCTGCATCTGCGACACCGTGCTGCCCGCCGCTGCCATCCGCGCATAGGTGTCCTTGATCTTGTCAAGGACCGGCTTCAAATCATCTCCCGCTCGCATGGAGAGGGCAGCCAGCTCCTTCTCCAACACAATCACCATCGGCAGCGTGTTGGGCTGAATCACGTCGCGCAGTAGCTTCCACGCCTTCGGTCCGGAGTCATCCAGCTCCACAAGATCCTTGATGTGCTGAAACATATCGTTGTTGACCGACTGTAGGATGAGTTCGTACAGCACCGCGCTCCTCTCGATCCATCGGTCACGTGCCTCTCCTTCCTCGGGCATCTCCTCTTCCCCCATTGCAAGTTTCAGTAGCTTGTAGCGCTTGAAAGCGCTCCTCATCCGCCCGCTCCATTCCTCATAATTGGAGCCATCCAACGCCTCAATCTTGGATGGTGGCGGCTCACTCCTCTTCTCAACTGCATCTCCACTCCCTTGACTCATCTTCTCTTCACCCAATCTCAGGTTTCAGCTCCCCCCTTTCTGTCCACACCAAAGTCCCACAATATTTTCACAAGTGTCGGCGCCAACGAAATTTCGGCAGAGTTTCCCTTAGCGGAAGTCACATGCAACCTCCAGAACTCCACTTAGGCACGCCCACAGGCCATGGTGGGTCTAGAAGGGTCTTCACACTTCACTAGACTCCCCACAAGGTCCTTAATCAGCTCTGATACCACTTTTTAGAGACTAAGGACGGAGTCTATGAAGATTAGGGGCCGAAATAACTCAAAATCGTCAACTACAATTCTGGACAGAAAAGTCGTCGTCACAAGAAACGTCGTCGACAAAAAACGCACTGTTAGAATTCTCTCAAACACGAATATGTTGTAGCCCTTGACCGTGGCGATCTTTCCCAAATTGAATTGTATCAAAATATGGCGTATAACTCGGGTTATGAATTTCGGCGTACTAGGGGGTATGCTGGAGCTGAAACTTAACTCAATCACAATATTTTCACAATTATCTCATAATCACCACACAAGGTGCTGGAGTAGCAATAAACCAGGTAGGAGGGAAGAGGAGGACGAGAGGGAAGGTCCCAAGGAGTCCCCAACCAAGGAAACCCCACAAGCACAAAAGATTCCCTCCCTATAGGAACCCAACTTTGACCCTTGTCATTTTCCCAACCTCCACAATCCACCTCACCCCAACTTGGCCACACTTGCCAACCTGGTTTGGCTTCTCCCAACCATTTGGCAGCATCTACAGTGATGTTGACGAATTTCCCAACCCCCAAAAGTATATACCCCTTATAGAGTCAACCCCACAACTTCCCATAGTCACCACAACCAAATATCAAAAGCATACGAACTTCGTAACTTTCTTGTTCGTGCTCCGATTGAAGCGATACTTGGTTCGTCGGAAAGCTCTTGAGCAGAGGAGTCACTTCAGATATCTGCTCAAGCCAAATAACATTCACACATACTCAGAAAAACCAAACCACATCAAACACAAATTCTTGCACACGCTCACACCACGCATGCAACGCACGAACATGTGATGGGAGGCAGACAAACGTGAATGCAAGTGATAGCATCACATAACACCATCTTCGCATAGGTGTCCTTGATCTTGTCAAGGACCGGCTTCACATCATCGCCCGGTCGCATGGAGAGGGCAGCCAGTTCCTTCTCCAACACAATCATCATCGGCAGTGGGTTGGGCTGAATCAGATCGCGCAGTAGCTTCCACGCCTTTGGTCCGGAGTCATCCGGCTCCACCAAGTTTTTGATATGCTGGAACATGTCGTTGTTGACCGATTGAAGAATGAGGTCGTACACAACCGCGCTCCTCTCAATCCATCGGTCACGTGCCTCTCCTTCCTCATGTATCTTGTCTTCTCCCATCGCAAGTTTCAGTAGCTTGTAGCGCTTGAAGGCGCTCCTCATCCGCAAACTCCATTCCTTATAATTGGAGCCATCCAACGCATCAATCTTGGATGGTGGCGGCTCACTCCTCTTCCCAGCTGCATCTCCATTTCCTTGACGCATCGTCTTTTCACCCAATCACAAATCTCAGCTCCCCCCTTGCTGTCCACAACGAAGTCCCACAATATTTTCACAAGTGTCGGCGCCAACGAAATTTCGGCAGAGTTTCCCCTTAGCGGAAGTCACATCCAACCTCTAGAACTCCACTTAGGCACGCCCACAGGCCATGGTGGGTCTATGAGGGTCTTCACACCTCAGTAGTCTCTTCAGAAAGTCCTCAATCAGCTCTGATACCACTTGTTAGAGATTAAGGACGGAGTCTATGAATTTTAGGGCCCGAAATATCTCAAAATCTTTGGACTATATTTCTGGACAGAAATGTCGACTTCACAAGAAACGTCGTCGACGAAAATTGCACTGTTAAAACTTCTCCAATTTTATATATGTTGTAGCTCTATACCGTGGCTACAATTCCCAACTTGAATCGTATCAATAGGTGAAATAAAACAGGAGTTATGATTTTCGGCGCATCTGGGGGTATGTTGGAGCTGAAACTTGACTCAATCACAATAGTTCACACAAGTTCCACACAAGAGAATTTAAGTAGCTAGAAACCAGGTAGGAGGGGATGAGGAGGACGAGAGGGAAGGTCTCCAAGGAGTCCCCAACCAAGGAAACTCCGTAGTCACACAATTCCCCTCCCTTTAGGCATCGCAATTTTGACCTTTGTCACTTTCCCAACCCATGCCATCCACCTCACCCAACTTGGCCACAATTGCCAACTTGGTTTGGCTTCTCCCAACCATTTGGCAGCAACTACAGTAGAAGTGACGAATTTCCCAACCCCCAATGGTCTATGCCCCTTGTGGAGTCACCCCACAAATTCTCAAAGTTGTTGTAACCAAATATAAGAAGCATACGAACTTCAACCGTTCGTAACTTTCTCGTTCGTGCTCCGATTGAAGCGATCCTTGGTTCGTCGGAATGCTCTCAAGCAGAGGAGTCACTTCAGCTGTCTGCTCAAGTCAAATAACATTCACACACACTCAGAAAATCCAAACCACGCCAAACATTAATTCTTGTACACGCTCACACCACGCATGCAACGCACGAATATATGATGGGAGGCAGACAGACGTGAATGCAAATTATGGCATCACATAACAAAGTTCAATACGAAACGCCGTCTTCGTCGATCGAATTGCCGATGTAAGTGTTTTGTAAAATAATTCGAAGGTTTTTTCTTCGCAGTTGCTTCGAAGGTCAACTCCACAGTTCATCAGTTGAGCAGCAGAAAGAAGGTTGAACTGAAGATCGGCGACGACGAGCACATCTACGATGTGGATGGTAAAGTTGGTGTCGCTCGACTGTAGGTAATTTTCGCCGATGTCGTATGCTTGGAGTCGATTATTGTTTGCGACGGTGATTTCGCACGGTCGTCGCATTCTCTTTGAGTTACTAATGAATGTCGGTGATACCACCATGTGTTGTTCACAGCAGCTATCAAGGTACCAGGTTTTGAAGTTGTCGCGGCTTCGTCGCGCGACGCTGGCGATCTTTGATGGAAAGCGTGCGAATCTAGAGAGCGTAACAAGAGATTAAGTCCGCCGACTTCGACGGAACATTGCGTGCAGCTCACGTAACCTAAAACTATGAGCAGGTACGCGTTGGAAAGGTCTTAATCTCTAAGTTCCAGAATGGTAATGCAGGCCTTCAACCAAGATCTAGGCCGATCGCTATCGCAATCTATGTGCGACGGGGTATCGTGGCAGCCATGGATTAGATCAAGAAAGTAGCTTTAGCAATAGTTCATATCTGCAAAGTGACGAGTTGGTCAAATCCTACCAACCCAACCCTCGCCCTACAACAATCCCCAACAACCCAAAGTGCCAATAGCAACACCAAAGGTGTTGTAGTGGGTAGCAAAGGTTTGTTGGTGCTTGTTGGGTGCGAGATCAATTCCAGCCAGTCTAGCAAGCACATTTTGCCCAAACCCTTAGCCCACAACCAGCTAGAGCAAAATACCACAATGCGGTCGACGTCAATGCAGTAAGGCGAGAGATCATTCTCGTGCCTTGCGGGAAAGCTGGGAGGAGACTCCGGCGTGCTCGGAGGTAGCTCAAAATCAGGTGGGATGTTGGTCGGCCTGTCGATCCAGGGGCTAAGTGTAGGGTCGTTGTTCGGGCTTGGTGTGATTGGGTCGATGTCACGATACTGAATTAGCTAGGAACCAGGCTTAACTAGGGCCTAGGCTTAGAAGCCTAGGCCAAGCGGGTGACGAGCGTGGCGAGAGCAAGGGTCGAGAGGATTGACCAAAGAAGTGGGATTCACTAAAAGCAAAGCATACAACATATAGTCGAGAATGATGCACAGGGGGTGGTACACCACCAACAAGAGGTACAAACACTACAGTAACTACAGCAAGCAGGATAAATATTAAATACAACTTTAACACACCCCCTTAGGCTACTTGCAGTAAGAAATAGTGCAGTCAACCCCCCCTGAAGGGGTAAACCTGGCGCAGTGGAAGACGGCAGAGAGGTAAGTGAGGAGGAGGAGGCGAGAGAGAGAGAGAGAGGAGAGGAGAGGGATGCAAAGTACGAAGGGGGGAGGTGAGAGAGGGGGATGAGGAGAGGAGGTGAGGGGGGGGCATTCGTGGCGAACCCCTTTTACTAACCCCCTTTTACAAAGGGGGAGGTGAGAGAGGGATGAGGAGAGGAGGTGGGGGAGCCAGGCGCGGCGAGTCCCTCTTACTAACCCCCAAATCCCCACCCCCAAAAAACTACCCCCCCTCAACCTCACCCCCCATTTTAGCCGCCCCCTGGAACCGCACCCCCTCCCCCCCTTCCTTCCTCCACACCCCTGCCCCACCCACAGTAGTCCCTGCAATGTCCTTCACACAGCTGCCAGCCCCCGCACCCCCCCGTCACCGCCACCTCCCCCCCACAGCAGCAGCCGCGGGAGGGGGAGGGGCAGGGCAGAGGGTGGTTCTGCAGTGGCTCACGGCGGCCACCATGTCCGCACCACCTCCCCCTTAACAGCCAGAGTCGTAGCGGGGAAGGCGACGGGGGAGGGGGGTGTGCGGCGGAGTGCTGCTAGCGCTGTCACTGGCGGTCGCGGGTGTCGCTGGCGGTGTCTCTGCTGGTGGTGTCTCTGCTGGCGGTGTCGCTGCTGGCGGTGTCTGTGCTGGCGGTGTCTCTGATGGCGGTCCCGCCACGCCCTTCCCCCATCCCTCTCATCCCCCACTGCGATTGTAGCTGCACACGGGGACAGCCGCGACAGGGGGTGACGAGAAGGGGCCACGACAGAGAAAGGGGAGGCGACGAGAGGCAAGGGGGACGGCGGCAAGGACTGCAGGTGCTGCTGGCGTCGCTGGTGCGCGTGCTGTTGCTGGGGGGTCTGACGGCGAGTCCGTCGGCTAGCTTGCTGGCGGGCTCGCGGGTCCGCTGGTTCACCTACTGGCGGGTCCGCGGGGCTGCTGGCTCGTTGGCTGGCGGGTCCTTCGGCGGGTTCGTGGGCGGGTTCGGTGACGAGCCCGTCGGCGGGTTCGTCGGCGGTCCCGTTGACTCGCGCGCAGACGGATCCATCGACAGGCTTGCTGATGCGTGCGCTGGCGGGTCCGACGGCGGACTGGCTGACGCTCGCGCTGGCGGGTCCTCTGGTGGACTTCCTGGCGAGCGTACTAGCGGATCCGTCGGCGGTTTTGCGGGCGTGCTCGCCATGGGCCTCGCACGCCATGGGCAAAAAATACGATCAATGGGCGGATCTACGGGCAGCAGCGGGCAGGAATGGTGGGCCCATTAACTTAGGTCGAGGATCTTAATCGCTCAATATCATGTCACGATACTGACTTAGCTAGGAACCGGGTTTAACTAGGGCCTTGGCTTAGAAGCCTAGGCCAAGCGGGTGACGAGCGTGGCGAGAGCAAGGGTCGAGAGGATTGACCAAAGAAGTGGGCTTCACTAAAAGCAAAGCATACAACATATAGTCAAGAATGATGCACAGGGGGTGGTACACCACTAGCAAGAGGTACAAACACTACAGTAACTACAGCAAGCAGGATAAATATTAAATATAACTTTAACAGTCGATTTGCGTGATTGGCGGAAACTCAGTTCCGTCGTAGTAGCGAGTGCCTCTGCGACGTGCCATGCAGCTTAAGACTGACCCTAAGGTCGAAATTCCAACTATTTCGCCACTGAACCTGAGGAGTGTTCAAAAACCGGTTCGAGGGGGACGTTAGAAAATAGCGCGGAACTGGTTTACGTACCCGAAATCGGCGCTTTCGTCGTAGCCCCCGCGGTTTTAAAATCTAGGTTTTAGCGGTCGAATAACTTCGTGTGTAAACAGGCTCTGATTACCAAGTGTGAGGATCTAGGATCGAGCTCAGGAAAGAGAGTTTGAATTGAATGATCCACCTGGGTACAACACGAGGCTATATATAGGCTCGACACAAGGCAGGTAACTCAGGTGTTACGCGAATGTTCTGAGGGTCACGAAGCGTCGCGAACAGAACCTTCCCGAACTCGGTAGAAAGCAATTCGGTGGCAACCGAATAGGCTTGAGTTCGGTACACGTAACCTGGTTTGGTGCTATAATTATAATAATATATAGGAATGCACCTAACCTAGGAAATCAAGCATATCTATGCATGATAAAATAAACCCAAGCTAGATATAGCATAATAAGCAAGCATAAGCCGTCGTACTCTCACAACAGCCTTCCTGCAGGGCAGCCTTCACGAGGCTATCTGGTTGCGCCACCCACGTGGCTTCACTGGGTCGTTTCCTGAGGGTACCTAGTGGAGTCTTCGGTGACCAGTCTACGGCCTGCGACAGGCGCCCCGTGAGTGGCACAACACACTGAGGACTACACTTGCGGCTCTTGGCTTCGCTCCCTCGACTGCTGACCCTTCGCTGTTTTTGCGCACTGACACTTCCCTGCCGCCGTTCTACGTTCTCGTATACGTCGATGACTTTGTTTTTGCTACTGCTGACACAGAGGCTCTGGCCTTAGTGAAGGCGGAGCTGCAGAAGAGACACACCTGCACTGACTTGGGTGAGCTGCGGAGCTATCTTGGCTTGCAAATCACCCGGGACAGAGCACGCCACACCATCACCCTCACTCAGTCACACATGGTGCAGCAGGTCCTTCAGCGCTTCGACTTCACGTGGTCCTCGCCACAGTCCAATCCTATGTCTACAGGCCACTCGCTCTCAGCTCCACCTTCGGACGAGTCCGTAGAGCCGAGTGGTCCATACCCAGAGCTTGTGGGTTGCCTCATGTACCTGATGTCCTGCACACGACCTGACCTCGCGTACCCTCTCAGCCTCCTGGCTCGCTACGTGGCTCCCGGTAGACACCGAAAGGTGCACTGGGAAGCTGCGAAGAGGGTATTGCGTTACTTGTGCAATACATCGGGCATGGGGCTTGTGCTTGGAGGACCCGGTCCAGTTGTTCTCACCGGTCACTCAGACGCTTCTTGGGCTGACGACACAGGGGTACAGCTTCAGCCTTGGCGCGGGTTCTGTCTCGTGGAGGTCCACCCGCTCGTCTTCTGTACTTAGTTCCAGCTGTGAGGCCGAGATCTACACGGGGGCTATGGCTGCACAGGAGCTCCGCTGGCTGACCTACGTGCTGATTGACTTGGGTGAGCGGCCTCGTTCTCCTCCAGTTCTGTACGTCGACAAAAAGGCCATGATTGCCTTATGTCAGGACCAGAGACTGGAGCACAGAACGAAGCACATTGCTCTCCGTTACTTCCTCACGCGAGAGCTGCAGCAATGTGGTCAGCTTCGTCTTGCTTACGTGGCCACACAGGCCAACACTGCTGATGTCTTCACCAAGGCCATTGGGTCTGGTGATCATCAGCGTTTCTGCACTGCTCTTGGGCTTGTGCCCACTCTGCCTCACCTGCTTGTCTCTTGATCTTGTTTTGCCCTTTTGGGGATGAACTCTATGCCCGGTACGGCTTGCTCCACAAAGCCCACACTAGAGAGCGGTGAGCTGTGCGCCTGATATATATGAGTATACCTGCATGCTTACACTTGCTAGGTTGTGCTCAGTGTACTGCTCTTGCTATCATAAACTCTGCATGTGAACTGGCCTTGTGGCCGCTTGCTTGTGCTCGGAATGCGTGGTGATCTTGAGATCCACCCTGAGCTTTGCTTTGTCTTGCTTCATCTCTTGACTGGTCTTGTGACCATTGCTTGCTATGGCTATCTCCAACGTCGCCTATGGGGGTGTGTCAAAACATATGTGTTCAATGTTGTCTAGGCTATATAGGGGCTAGCCTTAGAGGGTACACAATTCTCCTGGACTATCTTGCTTGTACCCCTATTCCTCACCTAATCAGACCATTCCTAATTCTAACAAGCCATGTACTGTAAGGAGTATATTCCCTTAGCAATAGTTTTAAGATAAGAGTACAAGGATATAAATAGCAATTCTAGCAAGCCATGTACTCTAAGGAGTACATTCCCTTAGCAACTGTATTGCATTGCTACAGTAACGGCGACTATTACTCTACTCGACAGTTACCATGTTGCATCGTGTAACCTCCGAGTATGGTTACTGGGTGGTCAACAGTCACGACCGTTGACTAACTGTGACTGTTGACCTTCGAGTGACTCTCGGGCTGCCATGTGCTTTGTATGAGCTATTGCGGTACTGGTACAGTGGCGTAACTTCGTTATGAACTGGCGCGCTAGGAGAGAACCTTCGGGACTATTATAATAACCTTCCGGTTATTCCAACAGGTCTGATGGATTTGACAGGAGGAAACTGAGTTCTGAAAACACTGACGCCCAGCACTAAAAACAAGCACTGACGGCCGTGCTCTACACAAACTGCACTCAGGCAAGCGGAACAGAGCGTGAGGATGGAAACAACTACCGTATTTGCGAAGATTACGCCGAGATGTAACTGCTAAGTTTCTTGGGCGAGAGTTCACATCCGCGTCTGCATTTCCAACAGCACACAAGATGGCATGTGCAAACAGAAACTCCGAATGTGGAGGTCTCTCAAGCGAACCGAACAGAAGATGTACCATATACTATGTACCTCAGTGTAGTCTAGGATATCTCATAAAGATACAAATATGATTTCACAACTTGTTGAATGCGGCTACACCAGATGTGGATACGGCAACAGTCAGGTCGATGCAGGCAGCGATGCTGGGAGGTGCATTTGCTGCATGCACGTTGATCATCATTGCTCACTGCCTGCACACCGTCGTGCACTACCAAGGGTTTTGCTGCAGGACGACAGACAGGTGGTGGAGCTTAGTTCAGTGGTGATGCTGCGGTGATAGTTAGTTTAGCAGCGGTGGTTCAGCTGAGGTCTTTGAGGTTCTCTGGTGTAATGCAGTCGCATTGGCAAGTCAGTGGTGAAGAGGGATGAATGTTATCCCTAATGTCAGCAGTGAAGCTGTATTAGAGAGGAAGGACTGATATCAATGCAACTTCCAAACATTTCTGTCTGATTGATCCAGATGCTCACTGCACCTACTCCATTGAGGTGGATCATATTACTTGGGATATTACCTTACAAAACATAGAAACAAAACACACATGATTTACAAAACCTGAACTCCCCACAATTTGGCATGCCACTATAGCTGCATAATCATTATTTAGGCTATCTATATATATCTGACCAGTGTAAGAAGGTTATTATACCACCCAGCATGTCACACTCTCTTGTCACATGAAGTCGCTTCCTTCGGTGCTCTCGTGTTCCCCCCTCCGCCACGCAGCAGCATACATACAATCCGCGGAGCGAATATCCGAGGTGATGTAGTCCTCTGTGCGCCCATCCAGAAATCCTCTGCCGCTCTCGCTCTCCACCTCCACCGGCTCGCGCAGCAGGCGGGTCAGCAGGCGGTACCGCAGAGAGCGCACCTTGCGGGATTCCTCGGCTCGGAAGGTCTGACCCAGCACGCCGTGAATGCCACTCGTGTGCTGCACAAGGGAGGTAAAGAGGGAAGGACAGGAAGGGGGGTAGGGGGGAGATGGGGTTGCGTGGTTGCGTGGGACAAAATGACAAAAAGGGTAGCATCGCAAGGATGGTTAACATGGCAGAACCGGCCGGGCAGGACAGCCAGCACATAGCGAACAATCAAAAGGTTGCTCACATTGAGCCGGGCGATGTGCACGTTGAAATGTGCCTGGGCTTCCGTAGCCGTCTGCATGAGCGGATGCGCCACGCGTGCCGAGATGCCCATGTCCACCACGCCGTCAATCGTGAGATGAAACTCGTCCTCGTCCTTCCCCTTGCAGCTCAGTGTTTCCGCCAGAAGCAGCTTGAACCCACCGCTGCCAAGGACGGAAGAGCCTGCAGTCAGAGGCGGGGCCACCAGCGAGCCGTCGAGCTCCAGTCGGTCGATGAACCCACTGCTGCCCCTCCCTTGCTCCTTGCCGTCGCGCGCCTTAAAGAACGCTGAGTGCTGCACGCCAGTTGCATCGCGCCACATCACTTGGAGCTCCCTGGAATTGAGTGCAGCATGAGAAGGGAACGTGAGGCTCATGAAAACATGGCACAACGAATGAGTGCGGCACGAGTTGAAAACGTGAGGCTCGTAAATTTGAAAAACTCGGCACATGCTGCACAATGGAACTTCCATACCTGATCCAACTGCGAATCGGCTTTCCTTTCAGAAGCCTCGCCTTCAGCTCATGCTTTGCGTACTGAATCGAGTGGTGCTGCTGCTCTTCCCCTCCACTCCCGCCGCCTTCTTTGCCGCCCATCTCCCGCTCAAGTGCCGTCACCACCTCATCGGTCAACGGCAGGCTCCCATTGGCCCGCATTCTCTCCAGCTCGCTCAGTTCCTCCACGCTCAGCCTCTCCTGCTCCAGCTGCCTGATATGACGTGGCTTCTTCTCATTGGACGCCGCTTCCAGCGCTGCAGCGAGCGACTCTTCGTCCAATGATGTCGCCGTGCCGGGGAGATTCGCGATGGGCTGGTAACCCTTGATTCCCATGTTGATGTGGATTCGACGGTCGGAAACCAAGCAGAAGGAGCGGTCGAGAAGGCCGTTGAAGTCGTAGTGGGTGCCGTCTGCGCCCCGGAAATGCGGGTCATCGTCCGTGTTGGCAAGGGGGTTGCACTCTCCGCCCAAGAACGTTGGTAGGATGGGCACGTCCCAGTTCCGCACGGTGATGCCTGCCAATGAGCCCAGCAACGTGCATTGGCCACTGCTCGGTGTCATGGGAGGGGGATAAGAAGTTAGCCGGCGGTATAAGAATATAGTTTTGAGAGGGGGAAGCGGAGGTGTTGACGAGTCACACAGTGAAAAGCATTCTGAACTGAAGGCAAGAAGCTCGTCACACGGTGTGAGGGCAAGAAAACAGTACTCCATTCAATGCTTTGTCATCGCATGACAAGGATAACGAAATATCAGTGGCGATGCTTACAGCTGGCCATTCATTGGAGGTTTCAGATGCCAGAACCTGCAGCCAACCTTCTTGGCGCACTTCTGGCAGCATTCCACTAGTTCGGGACCGTGCTGCCAAGAGGAGAGACGGGGAAGTACGGGGCCAAGTTAAAACAGAAGGTGCACAGCCTCTCCACCTTCCCGCGTTCTCATGAACTGTAGTGATGCGCCGCCGAGCCGCTGCCCTTGCTCAAAGACAACGGAGAAAACGCAGCCATGCGATTTTGGCGGTGGGACAGTAAATGACGGAATGCACGACGGGGGGTGGACTGGGGCTGAATGAATTATTACCCCGGATGTCTCCAAGGAGCCTACGACAGTTGCGGCCGCAGGGTCGAGAACGTAGCGCTCATAGTTGTAGTTCCCGAGAAAATTTTGTGGTCCCGACGCCCTCGTGTCAGTTAATTTGTTGATGTAGTACCCCAGCTTAAGCTTGTTGCATTTCTTGTAACATCCGCGGGGTTGTGTCAAGGGGCCGTGCGGTTTGTCCTCGTCAGGATGCGGTGCTACCGTCGAAGAAGGTGCTCCCAGAAGTACCGCGGCGAACAGAACGAGTAGCCACGATGTCGCTCCCGCGGCTCTTCTGCCAGTGGCGAAACACCCCGAAGAGCCGCGTGTTTTCATTTTTGCTTTCAGACTCGGAACAAGGAAGTGCTGGAGTCTCCTTGCCGAACAGGATGGCGAGTAAGTCGCTTGGATTCAAATCAAGAAAGTCTGAAAATTGAACTACTACTACCCAGTAAGACGAAGCTTTATGGGGTGTCTGGTGCCTTGGATTCAAATCAAGAAAGTAAGAAAATTGACTTGAGCATCAACGCATCGCGGATTTGCGAATCGGGTCGAACTTCGCTTGTTCGTACGATCTCTGACAAAGTGTCTGAGCGGTGGCGCGAGTTGAGGGAAGGCAAGTCACTGTCAGGTGAAGCCACGTCGGATCAGATTGGCTTGACTTCACGGTCAATGAAAAAAGTCATGCGAATTCTTTCATTGGATGAGACCAGTCAAGGGCTTGACTTGGCATTGGCAATGTCACTCCAAGAGTGTCAATAAAGGGGCATCTTTCCATGTGGGAAACAAAACCCCTATATTGAAGGGGTTGGCGGAGAAGACTTTATATTATTTTAGGGTACTCTATTATCTGCCAATTCTACACCCATTTCGGATCAGTGTCAACCATTTCCCTCCACGTAGCGAGCCAACTTCAGGAATGACGAGGGTCCAACATCATGTCAGCCTTGCTAGACCTCGTCAGCCGTGAGGTCTGTGAAACGAGCCCCAGATTGTCCCTTGGTGGCCCTTCGGCGTCGTTCTGCAGGGGCCGACATGGGTGGGACCAGGTGTCTAAACAAATATATTTCACGATTATGGCGTTTCCCGACCAGGAGTGCAGGAGCGAAAATGGGAAGTCAGCGGAGGCTGCTGTTTGTCGTCTTATCCCGCACACGACCAGGCATCAAAACATTGTGATAGGGTATTCTTGACTGATAATGTTTCAGCTGTACCCATTCTCTGATTAATCATCTGCTGAACGTATTTGCACTGCCGCCTTCGACGGGGGTTATCGCGGATTCGATAGGAGGAAACTGAGAATGAAAAACATGAAGACCTCGTTGAGCATCCGCAAGCAAGCGGACAGGTAACGAGTCAGACAGTGAAGACGACAGAAACAGATGTTCACGAATCTGACGACGAGCTGTACACGTACAGTACAGTACACCTGATGCCCATTTCAGTCTCCTTCCCCATCTTTCCCCATGCTCCTCTCTCGAGCACGCGCCCTCTAGGGGCAAAATGGGACTGAATGCAGAACAAAGGTGACAAAATCGACTACAGCTGCCAAAATTATGGGTAGCCCAGCGTGTTTTGTCTGGTAAACTCGAATATCTTGGTTTTGTCGTGGGCTAGTAACGTTCGGGCCGTTGGCTGTGAATGTCGACCACTGGGCGTATGGAGTGGCACCGGGCGTGTTCAGAGTGGGCGGTTGAGTGAGCATTAGGGTGTAGTTCGTTTTTCGGCCTGTGTTTCCAACAGCACACATGAAGGCATGTGCAAACAGATCACTACAGTTTTCCGGATGTGCAGGTCTCTCAGGCGAACCAAACAGAATTTGAATGCTGACCGATGATGCGACGACTTCTGTCGGAAACCTGGCTGGGACTGCCCTGCACATTTGTTTGTCGTTTCTGGTGGTGCGTTATGCACATCTTCAAGTACGCTCCAGATAGGCGACTGCACAACGCTGTCTAGTCCAATTTAGCATAAAACAAGGTTTTTATGTTACAGTGTGGTACTAGTAATTTTTTTAAAATTCCTGATCTCTCTTTTTCAGTTCGTGTTCTTTTCCTCCAGCAGATAAATCTAAGGAAGGCAGTCCTGTTGGAAAATGTCTTTCTTGAATGAGGGACTTGGCTCATAGTCCATCAATACAAAATTAGAAAATCAGTACAACTAGCAGCATATGCAATCTCAGAGCGTAGAGTGTATTTATAGTAATCATATTTAGTAATGGGGCAGCGTCCAGCTGCCCCTAATTAATTACTCGCTAATATCCAAGCACGTCTCTTGGAAGGTCCATGAGAGCTCGCAGCGACAGCCCGATGAACTTGCGTGCAAAGAGCCAGCACGTGGAATTCTCCCCGCTCACTGTACAGCGCCGGTTGGACATGATAAACTGCTGCGACTCCTTGGGCAGCAGAAACATTGGTTGCGAGTAAGGCCGCTTCTGGTTCTCATGCCACTCCTCCTGAATGCTCCGCATCGACTCGGGCGAGATGTCCCGAGGGAGGTACGTGTGCGGGTGACCCGTCTTGCGCTGCCAGTCGACGCTCATGACGCTGCGGTTGGCGACTTGGTGCGGGTGCTGGGAGGTGATGATGTTGTGGATGAGATTCTCGTCCACACAGCATGTGGGGCGCTGCATCACCTGGCAGTAGTCCCGCCCCTTCTCGTGCCACTCCCAGTCCCGAACCACCTCCATTGCATGCCTGCATGCCAACACATACATGGATTTCAAGGGGTTAGGGGAGATGGGAGTGGGTTGGGAGGAAGAGGGGGAGAGATGAGACGCACATGGCCGCTGAATCGGCTGGCAGTACAACCATGCATCATACGACCATGCATCATACGACCATGCATTATACCACATGCATCAGACAACATGCATCATACCATGCATCATACAACCATGCAAAGCAAGGCTAGCACACAGGAGAACATGGCAGGGCAGCATATAACATGGCAGCGCAGCACATGGCAGCGTGTAGGTAGCAAAACGGTGTGGCTTAGGGTTGGCTTAGGGGCAGCAGCACTCACGGTCTGGCCATCTCGACCCAGCACTCGCCGTGCATCCAGCCGTCGATCACAAGCGAGCGCGGGAAGACCTTGATGGCGGCCTTGTTGTCGCGGAAGAACTTGCGGTAGCCGCCCACGTACGACTGGTTGGATGCCAGCAGGTAGCGGTACACCGTGGGGAAGGAATGCAGCGGCACGTCCCTTTCGCTCAGCACCACAAAGCGCACATTGTGCGGGTCTAAGAGGGCTGTAGCCAGGAGCCGCTGTTGTGGTGGATGGGGATGGGGATGGGAATGAGGATGGAGATGGGAGGTGTTGGGGAGGGAGAAGGGGAGGGGACGGGGACGGTGATGGGGGGATGAGGATATGTTGACAATGGACAGGTGGGCTGCGGAGGCAGAACTTGTCGACAATGGACAGGTGGGCTGATGAGATACGGATGAGGAGATGCGCAGAATAGAGGAGAGAGAACAGGGAAAGGCGAGGATACAAGGAGCAGTGAGCATTGAGAGGCCTTATGGAGAGGCCTATGAGTACCAAGGAGGGCCTCACGTGGTACCCAGGTGATGCTGCATGCATGTAAGTAACACACCCCTCCCTCCACCGCCTGCCTTCATTCCTCGCCTTGATAGCCTCAGCAATGCTGGCCATTGCTGGGCACGGCGTGAAGGTCGATGCCCATGCTCATGCTCATGCCCATGCCCACCATGCCCATGCCCATGCCCATGCCCTTGCCCATGCCCATGCCCATGCCCATGCCCATGCCCATGCCCATGCCCTTGCCCATGCCCTTGCCCATGCCCTTGCCCATGCCCTTGCCCATGCCCATGCCCTTGCCCATGCCCTTGCCCATGCCCATGCCCTTGCCCATGCCCTTGCCCATGCCCTTGCCCATGCCCTTGCCCATGCCCTTGCCCTTGCCCATGCCCTTGCCCATCCCCACCCCCACGCCCACGCCCATTGCCCATGCTCACACGTGGTACCTGGGCGCCGCTGCATGCATGAAAGCCTCTCTCCCTCCCCCCACCCTCCCCACTCCCCCTTTCCCCCTCCCCCCTTCCCCCCACCCCCCCACCTTCCCTCTGTTCGCGCCCCTCGTGCTCACCTTAATGGCCTCAACGATGCTGAGCGTGCCCCAGAACACGGGCTTGCTGGGCACGGCACGCAGGTTGAGGGAGCGCCGCACCCAGGGCTCAACGCGGTAACCAGGCGTGGCGGCGTGCATGTAGGCGCTGAAGTACGCCGAGTGGTTGCGGAAAAACCGCTCCCACAGCGGCGCCAGGGGGAGGGGGCCGCGCGTGAGGAAGAGAAAGGCGATATTGGGGATCGGGGGAGATGAGGCGGAGGGGGAGGGGGACGGGGATGAGGGAGAGGCGGAGGAGGAGGAGGAGGAAGAGGAGGATTCGGGGGAGGGATAGGAGGGGTCGGAAGGGGGGAGGGGGAGGGGGTCGGAGCGCGAGAGGGTGGAGAAGGTGGCGTTGAAGGGCGAGGGCGTGGTGAGCGCGGCGTGGAAGAGGCGGCAGTCCGCCAGGTCCACCGTGCTGCCGCGGAACACGTACTGCCCGCGCACCTCCCTGCGCGGGGGAGACACAAGGGGTGGGGCGGAACGGGGAAGGGAGATGGTTTTCGAGTCGACTTGAGAAGCACGTAGTACCCGCGCACGTTCCTGCGCGGGGAGCGGAAGGGGCCCAGTGCACCCCCCAATGCACCCCCCCCCCCCCCCCTCCTCCCCCCCATGCATCCCCCCGCGCACATACATCTCCTCACTCTCCTCACACACATTTCCATTTCCACCTACTCTGAAGGTCGCGTGTATCCCTCCACGTCAGCAGCACGTGTCGCGCACAGCCACGGGTCGCGCGGAACCGGCAGGCCCGCCTTCGCCACTCTCCGCAGCAGCTTCACCGTCGCGCGCGGAAGCGCCGCGTCAAACCCCTTCCGCTTCCCCCACGGCTTCACCGTCTCCCTTCCCCCGCCACTGTCCCCCCTCTGCTCTTTCCCGTCCGCTGTTCCCGCGGGTGGCGCATCCGCGCGGGGAGATCCCCGCAGCATGTCCGCGGTTGATGCGCCGGTTTTGTTCCCCCGGTTTTCCGCCTCCCCCTCTTCCCCGCGCAACCCATCCCCCTCGTCAGCAGTTTCGCTGGTAACCGCGGTGGCTTCAAGCGCAGTGACACTACCAATGTCTCCAGTATTAGACTTCTCATTAGTAGGTCTCTCGTTGTTTTTTACGTTCGGCGGAGCGCTCTGAGTTTCGCCTGTGGAGCCTTCGTTGTCAGCTGGCGGGCTGACGTCATCGGTTGCCAAAAACACGTCATCAGGTGACGGCATGACGTTTGCGGCGCCGGCGAGAAACAGCCCTTCAGATGCTTCCATCTCCATCGCATCCCACGGCTCTCCGCTGGCCGCCTCCCGGCCAAGGGCGGCGGCGCGGCCGGCGGGATTAGCGGCGGAGAATATGAGCGTGCTCCAGGCGTCCGTGCCCGTTGGCGCGGTGGACAGGCGCATGACGCCTGGGAGCGCGGGGGGGATGGCGCACGGGGGAAGGTGCAGGGGGAGGGGGAGAAAAGGGGGAAAAGGGAAAAAAACCAAAAGGGGTATTGGAAAAAAGGGTTGATGGCGAATGGGGGAGGCGAGCGCAGTGACAGAGGTGGAAGCAGCGGAGAGAAGGGATGAGGTTGTGAAGAAAAGTGATCGGTCGGTGGTTCGAGCCCCAAGCTATGGTTGGAATGGCAAGCTATGCGTCGAGTTGCAAGCGCACGGGTCGGGTACCTTGCCACTGCGAGGGAATCAAGGTGACGTCGCCGCTGGGTTGCCACATCTGGTAGGCGAGCGGGGCAAAGAGCGCGAGCGCCACTAGAAGGCCCGCGCCCGCCAGGTACCGCCACTTGCCCCCGCCCATCTTGAAACTCCCGTTCAGCCCGCCGTTAAAACCGCCGATTAAGTTACTGGTAACTCCGGCAGCTCCTCCGCCGCTCGCTCCGTCCTCCGCTAGGAGCGGCATCTGGCGCGAGTCGGTCATAATCTAGGGACCGGAGCGAAGCGGCGGCGATTACAATCACGTGCTTCGGGGCTCGGGCTACGACGGGTGGATGAACGCGAGAGAGGTGATGTGGAAGGGTTGCTATTATCGATGGCGACGCGGGAACTGGTAGCTACGTCTGATCTTGGGAACTGGGATAATTATAATGCGGTTCCTACGTGTCGTCGTCGAGCGACGCGAGTTGCGTTTGCACTTCCAAAGTGAAAGTAGTTAGCGGGCTGGAGGACAGTCGAATTGCGAGGCATAAACTTGAGGAGGGGGTCAAGACAGCCCAGTTCTAGTTAGCTGCAAAGGTCAATATGATGTCCGAGAGTCTGGAGCAACGAAGGTAGCTAGGGTTGATTGAAGCTCCATGCCTGATGCGATGAACTAATGGCCGTTAGCAGGCCAAAACAGGCCAAATTCAGGCGATAAAACGGTAAAGCGTGGGCATGTAAGTGCTGTTGGAATGCGGCGCCGTCATCGTCATCTCTGGTAATGTTGCCTCTGTACGGTCGAAGGGTGTGTGTGGAGATACAACAGTAGTGATAGGGAAATGGAGGTGCAGGGAGGGATGGAGCGGGAGAAGGGGGGTGGAGAGGTGGGGTGGGGAGGGGAGGATTGAGAGGGAAGGGGGAGGCTGCTTTTGGTTGGTTTGGTGATGCAATGCAAGTTGAGGGAGAGGCAAGAGCAACAATGAAAGCAATGAAGCACCCTTTCGGCGACAAATAATATGGATTCAGATGGATTGGCTTTGGTTCCTCTGATTCTGGGTGGGTTCTAGACGTTTTTACCTTACTGTGGTTGTTGCTGTTTGTTGACTTGGCGCGCGCGGTTTTGCCTGAATCCTGAAGGAAGGGATTTCGCGTCGTGCAAGAAGAAAGTTCATCGGAGCGCCGGGCTGCTGATTTACGAAGCGCGGCCGCCGAACAAATCGCCTAGCGGAGGGGACAGAACTAGCGAGCCAATGGCGTCATCGGACCGTTGGAACCAGTGTCGCATCCGAAATTGTGCCAAGGAGCTAAAACCGGTGGCTTGTCTTGCGAGTGAGGGCGTATCCCTGGCTGGTGGCAGGGCCACTGTAGCTGGCAGGGTTGGTGGCAACTTTCCCAAAAACACATGGGGGCGGAAAATGCGCATGCCACCAACAGTGCCAGCTACAGTGGCCCTGCCACCACCCAGGGATACGCCGTGAAAGCAGATTTACAGCCGAAAATCCCGATGTTGGCCTTAGGGCAGGCACAGCGCGTACGTTTACAGGTACTATACAGTTCATTCGTAGTGGTTTGAAAATAGATCAGGCGGTGCACAACGGTTCTTAAATTGCAACGTTTTAAACCGTGACGCAATACATATTACCGCACTGGATGAACTGTAATGTACGGAAAACGTACGCGCTGGACCCGCCCTTAGTGTATCGGCAGGAGAAAACGAGGATATGTAAACGAGGCCATTAATTTCCCCTTTGCTTATTGTAAGGAAAATTCCTTTTCCTTATCGGTTTGACTTCTAGGCGTACAACCCCAACACTTTCGGACTTCGCACGTTCGGCCGACATCCACAATTCCGAGGCTCATTCGCGCTGCCTTTGGTTTTCCTTTCGCCAAACCTGCACCCAACCTCGTATTCCCGAGGTTCCCGCCTAGCTAGGGTAGTCACTAAAACAGCACGTGCCTTCATTGTGTTCTCAGTTCAGTTAGTCACAGCTTCGATATTCGTTTTCCGCACAACTATGTTTTGTTGATATAATACGTGAATCGAAGTGGATAGGATAAGACTGCTAAGTTATAGGAAGACAATAAAGTCTTTGTAGTGACCTTGTTAAAAAAGTTGAAAGAGAACAAGATAATAAAAAAGTAGAGATACAAGGGTATAAATAGCAAACTAGCTAGCTGTTAGAATGGTCTAAGCTACTAGCGGAAGCTTTAGTAGTCTTAGAACCTCCTCCTAAAGCCTAGGAATCTTAGGAGCCAACTTGGGCATGAACCATGCTAGAACGAAAGAGGTTTCCAAGAAGTGAAGTTCCAACAAGAGAGAACCCTAACCCAAACCTGTCAGCAGAATGAACGAGAATGAATGAACTAGCAGCATGCAGGAGTACAAGTAGCAAACCCTAATTGGGTTGTACCCCATATGGGCTACCCCCACTACAGCCTACACAACATGCAACATATAAGTTTGACACACCCCCGTAGTCAAAGTGGGGGAGAACAAGAGGTCACAAGACCAGTCAAGAAAAACAAAGCAAACTCAGGGTGGATCACAAAGTCACCACACACTCCGAGCACAAGCAAATGGCCACAAAGCCAGTTCACATGCACAGTTATATAATGCAGAACAAGCAGTACAGTGATCAAAACCTAGCAAGTGTAAGCATGCAGGTATATGTATATAGATCACAGTACAAGCAAAGTCAAGAAGTGAGCAAGTGAGGCCAAGTAGGCACAAAGCCTAGAACAGTACAGAAACACTGATGATCACAAGGCTGAAGTGCCTTGGTGAAGATATCAGCAGTGTTGGCCCGAGAGGCCACGTAAACAAGACGAAGCTGACCACGATGCTGCAACTCACGAGCAAGGAAGTAACGCAGAGCGATGTGCTTCGTTCTGTGCTCCAGTCTGTGCTCCTGACACAAGGCAATCATGGCCTTGTTGTCGACGTACAGAACTGGAGGAGAACGAGGCGGCTCTCCCAAGTCTGTCAGTAGGTAGGTGAGCCAGCGTAACTCCTGTGCAGCCATGGCCTTTGCGTAGATCTCAGCCTCATAACTGGAACTGAGAACAGAAGACGAGCCGGTAGACCGCCAAGAAACAGAGCCAGAGCCAAGGCTGAAAGTGTAACCCTGTGACGACCGGTGCGTAGCCAATTCGTCAACCCAAGAGGCGTCTGCGTGTCCAGTGAGGACAACTGGACTCCGTCCTCCAAGCACGAGCCCCATGCCCGACGTACTGCACAAGTAGCGCATCACCCTCTTAGCGGCCTTCCAGTGCTCTGGTAGGTGTCTCCCGGGCGCAACGTAGCGTGCCGGGATGCTAAGAGGGTAAGCAAGGTCAGGTCGAGTGCAGGTCATCAGGTACATGAGGCAGCCCACAAGCTCTGGATACAGGCCACTCAGCTCTACGGACTCGTCCGACGGTGGAGCTGAGAGCGAGTGACCGATAGGCAGAGGAGTGGACTGTCGCGAGCAACACTGGAAGTCAAAGCGCTGAAGGACCTGCTGCACCATGTGTGACTGAGTCAAGGTAATGGTGCGCCGTGCTCTGTCCCGGGTGATCTGCAAGCCAAGATAGCTGCACAGCTCACCCATGTCTGTGCACATGTGTCTCTTCTGCAGCTCTGACTTTACTAGGGCCAGTCCCTCAGTGTCAGCAGTGGCAAAGACCAAGTCGTCGACGTACACAAGGATGTAGAACGGCGGCAGCGAAGTGTCGGTGCGTAGAAACAGCGACGGGTCAGCAGTCGAAGGAGCAAACCCAAGAGCCGCAAGAGTCGTCCTCAGTGTGTCGTGCCACTTGCGAGGTGCCTGGCGGAGACCGTAGACTGGCCGCCGGAGGCTCCACTGGGTACCTGCAGGAAACGACCCAGTGAAGCCAGGTGGGCGGCGCAGCCAGATCTCCTCGTGCAGGCTGCCCTGTAAGAAAGCTGTGCTGAAGTCAAGAGAGTGAAGCTCGTAGTCACGCTGAGCGACGACGTGCAGCAGTACCCGAAGAGTGGTCATCTTCGGGGTAGGGGAGAAGGTCTGGAAGAAGTCAACTCCCTGTCGCTAACTGAAGCCTCGTGCAACGTAACGAGCCTTGAAGGCAGGCGGAGAACCTGGCGGCCGCTTCACCCTGAAAATCCACATGCCATCGACTATGTTCGCCCCAGGAGGGGGAACCTCGTCGACGTAAGTGCCTGTGTACTTTCAGGATGCCATCTCTGCGTCCATGGCTGTCTGCCACTGAAAGGAGTAGGGACCCGTAATCGCCTCTGCGTAAGAGCGCAGGGTCGGGATGTCTGGTGCATCCGGGTCTCCCTCAGGTGCAATTGGCATGGACACGAGATGAGGTACAGAAGCTGCAAAACACTCAAAGTCCTCCTCTCTGTCCTCAAGGACGTCCGTGCCAAGAGCACACTCACCCCCGACGGACGGAGGACAGTCAGACTAAGACTCAGCAACAAGACTAGCGGCGTAGTCGAGGCGACAGGCGGCAGCAAAGTCAACAAGCTCAGCAACAAGGGCAGACGTAGCAGTGGACTCAAACGAAGGGTCAGTGACAACAGTGGCTAGAAGACGTGTGACAGTAGGACTGGCAGCACGAGCAAGGCCTGACGGCGGGTCAGAGACGTTAGGAAGAGAGGACGCATGAGGAGACGGCAGAGGGACACGCTGTGGAACAGAGGAAGGACGAAGTGCCATCTGGTGCGTGCTGGGGACAGGAGGAGGAGGCTGACGCGGAACACGACGATCAGTGCGAACAGCGCGAACAGGCGACGCAGGACGAGACGCAGGCTCACGACGCTCTGTAAGACCTCCTATCTGCTCAGTGTAAGGAGAAGGAGCAGGCAGTGGGGAGGCTGGCTGTAACTGCGGCTGGGACTGGTCAGGCGATGGACACAGTAAGGGAGGAGTAGGGAAGGTAGGGAGGGGCAGGCGAGGGTGGGAGGGGAGGCACAGACCTGGGAAGACCAGAGACAAGGAGACGTGAGTGCATGCCACGGAGGTGTGGCACGGAGGGGTGACCAAGGCGGTGGTGCCAAAGGAGAGTCTGGTGCGAGAGGGCGCGACACGAGCAGGGGGCCGCTAGCTGACCTGACACAGACGCAGCTACTTGAGGAGGCTTAGTAGTCAGTGTGTACAGACTCGACCCAGGCCGATGGGTGAACGTGGCCAGGTGCCGGCCAGTCCGGGAGCACGTACAGATCCCCACACACTGTCCTCCAGGGGTGAAGGTATCAACCCACTCATCCTGAAGGACGGCGTTGCTCACCAAGTTCGTAGAGAACGAGGGGAGTTGAAG